AGAGCAATCGTAGTTTGTCCGTAATAAACTAAATCTTTTAAGTCTAAATAGTCTATAATTGGATATTTTTTGTCAAATACAAATGAAAGTGCTACAGTAACCAAAAGTCAAAAAAATTCGCATCTAAACGGGGCCTTAGTCACGTTAGAGGCCGTGGCGTGATTTGTAACTTCAGTCATGTCATATGTGTTGATGTGACTAGCTCGTAACTTCAGTAGTGCCATATGTGTTGATGTGACTAAGGCCTAAACGCCATATGTGTTGATGTGATTAAGGCCTTGTTTAGATACCCTCAAAATTCCAAGTTTTTTCACTCTTTCTATCACATCAATTTTTAGCCGTTTGCATGGAGCATTAAATATAGATAAAAAAATAACTAATTGCACAGTTTAGTTGGAAATCACGAGATGAATCTTTTGAGCTTAGTTGGTCCACGATTGAATAATATTTACCAAATAAGACGAAAGTACTACTATTCATCGGGTTGAAATTTTTTTCAATCTAAACATGGCCTAATTAAACTTAGCGCGCGGAAGTTAGAATTTTGGGCTATCGTAGCTTTTTTGTTTTTATTTAGCAATTAGTGTTTAAACATGGATTAATTAGGCTCAAAACGTTCGTCTCGTAATTTTCCATCAAACTGTGTAATTAGTTTTTTTTCGTCTACATTTAATGCTCTATGCACGTGCCGCAAACATTCAATATGATGGCTACTGTAACACTTTTTAGAATTTTGGGTTGAACCTAAACATGGGCTTAGACATGTTAGCATGTCAGAGATCACTTGACTAATTAGACACGTTAGCGTGTCCAGAGATCACTTTTCACGTAGGACACCACGTTTTGAGAACATATTTTTCATGTAGGGCCTTGTTTAGATGCCATTTAAATTCTAAGTTTTTTCACTCTTTCTTCATCATATCAATTTTTAGCCGTTTGTATGGAATATTAAATGTACAAAAAAACTAGCATGTCCAGAGATCACTTTTTTTGACGTTGGTCACCAATATTTTAAATAAGAACATATTTTCATCGCGGTTGCAAAATGTAGTGAACAAGGCGTAGGATGTTTTTCATGTTGGATATTGATGTGGCACGATACCAGACGGTTGTCACGCCAAAGTGGATGGCATGACTGAGTAGTTTGTCATGCCGTCTCCTATAGTATGACATACTCTTTGTGGGTGGTACCTGTTCATGGACTTGAGTGTGTTCTGTGTTGAGAAATGACAAAATTCTACTTTCTAAACCATTAATTTAGATTTTTTTTTAGAATTTTGGAGTCCATTTTGAGGCTAAACATGTTAATCTAAGACTCAAATATAATATTATGGGAATAATTCTTTATTTCGAAACTACAAGTGGTATGATGTCAGAGATAGACAAAACATATTGTGTTTATTTTCTAACATCTACTTAAAATTTTTGAAAATACACCAGTCATTTGTTTTAGATAGATGGACAAAAAAATAAAAAAGCCAAAATACCTAACAGTTACTGTAGCACTCACGCTCACGTTCGCGGCACACTCACGGACACTGTGTCGTCACAGGAGGAGATGGCGTCTAACATGGTGGCCGGTTTGTTTGCAGCTAAGGGCGTCCCCAACGGGGGATTAAATCGCTAGCGAGATGAAATTTGATTGGCTGCAAGAGGCGCAGAGCACAGCGCTAGCGAGATAGAGGCATTATTTAGTTTCGAGGTGTAAAGTTTTGATTGTGTCACATTAGGTGTTATATAGAAGTGTAGCATAAGGTGTTTGTATACTAATAAAAAAATAAATTACAATCCGTCAGTAAATCGCGAGATAAATTTATTAAGCCTAATTAATCCATTATTAACACATGTGTGTACTTTAATATTTTATTGTCAAATTATGAATTAATTAGACTTAAAATATTCATCTCGCGTCTCGCAAATTAATCGTAATATGTATAATTAATTATTTTTTAGTACGATATTTTAGTACTCCGTGTCTAAACATTTAATGTGACATGACTTAAGTTTTGGAGCGGAAAGTAAACTCGGGCAGAACTGGCTAGTCTCGCACGGTATTAAAAAAATCTCTCTCACAGTCCTCTGGACCCTGCGCCCTGACGCGGTGAATTGCGTCCATTCGCGGTACAGATGCCACTCGCGGTCTCGCGCGATCAGAGATCACTTTAACAGACGAGGAGGCGGCACGGTAACGCGATCGCGCGCGTGGCGCACGCTCGGTTCCCGGACCGTCGGTGCCGCGAGCGCGGCGCGGCGCGTGGGAGCGCGGGAGTCGTCGCCCCCGTGGACGAAACGGCAAGCGACCGCGCTGCTAGTGCTAGTACACCCTGCTCGCCGTTTCACGGAGAAACTGCTGGCTGACCTGCCGGGCGCTCGCCCCCATGCCATGCCATGCGTGGCGGACTGGCGGCTGGCCGGCAAGTGGTCTCAGACTCTCAGCTAGTGCTGACCTCGAGCACGTGCGCGCGCGGGATGCGGGCAACGGCAACGGCGTCTGCACGCACAAGCGAGCTCGCCGCGGCGGCCACGTACGCCAGCCTACGTTACGCTAGGGTGCACTGCTTGACATGTCGGGGTGGTGGATAAAGATGGCAACGGGCCCGACGGGTATTTGATCCATTAAAAGATGGGATGGGATTATATTTTTATCCGTGAGCATTTAAATGGGTAAGAATTCATTCTCGATGGGTATAAGGTATAGCGGTACAGAAACGTTCTCTGTTTATCCGTCCCCATTACCCGTTGAGGACCCGACTATTTGAGCTGTCATGCGAGTATTAGGCCAAAGAAGCTCAACCTAGTTATTTTGGTCAAAATGTGAACAATCATATATATAGTTTGTGTGTTCTAGGAACCCTAGTTCAATTTTTTCTCACCATCTCTGCTAGCAGCACAAGCACGCCTGCCTCACGAGCGCTCATGCCCCTCGCTTCCTCAGTTCGGTCTCTCTGCCACTTTTGCTCGTCCTCCTTGCAACCTCGCTCCTTCTCCTCAGCATCTCCGAGACTCCGACACTTATACCCGGGTAAAGAAGAAACGTCTTCAATTATAAAGCTGCGACCCCAAGTGTCTTTGTTTATCGGGTATGCAGTACTCGTTGGGTATATGTTACCCGACCGATGCCCGACGGGTACGGGGATGGACAAGAATCTATACCCGAGACAGTTAACGTGGATGGACAAGAGAACATTCCGATGATACCCGACGGGTACATCCCCGCTGCCATCCTTAGTGGTGGACAAACATTTGCTTGCGCTGAAGGCCTTGATTTGTCCTTGGGAATGTTGCAGCTGAGAGTCATCGCCGTTCGCCGATGCTACAATGGAAACAAAGAATTCTGGTTGCCGTGCCCTGTGCATGTAGTATGTCATTCTAGAAGTAGTAGAATGGCATCTCGAGGCTGCTATTGATTGCAAGAGGCGGATCATGTTCTTTGACAGCTTGGCTGTCATCAAATTAGGCAGCACTGGCTACTGTCAGTGACTCGCTGCATCATCGTTCTTGTGCTACTCCCAAATGTAAGGAGTTTAGCACAACAACATGGTCTCTGAGTTTGAAGATTAGACCTCTGTTTCCTACAAAACATTTTACTAAATATAAAAAAATCATATATTCTTAAATTACTTTTTATGATGAATATGGTAGTACCAAGTTATCAACCCTATGTCAAATATCTATAGTCAAAGCTAAAATAGTTAACTTATATTTCTGATCAAAGGAAGTGTTAATAACTAAAATGATAACAAAACAATACTTCAACCCATGAGATGGCGTTGACAGTGCTAATAGCCATGGAGACAAAAACACTCGAGTGCCGCAGCCGTAGCGACCTCCTTCTTCCCCTCCCTTCGCCGTCATCATGGTCACGGTCCGCCCTACCCCAACTTGGTCCGGCCGCCGCCACCTCCAGCCCCCACTCCACCGAATTTGGAGAAGAAAGAGAGAGAGAGAGAGAAGAATCAAGTGTTGGAACACTCGAGTGAGATGTAGACTTTCTGTTCCTTTTGCCTATGAATTGTGAGATAATTGCTGCTAAAGTTAGTTTATAAATCTTGTCGTAGTATTTCAACCATAAATTCAGTGCTATAAAAAGATAGAGTTTTCTTTTGCTAGTTATTTCTTTTTGAAAAATATGTTTGCTAGTAAAATTTTAGTGAATGTACTATACACTAGGAGCATATCTAAATTTGTCATTATTATTCTTGTTTTCTCTTTATAATATGGTTGCGTTCTTTAATATGACAACAATGGCCTTGTGTTTTGAAACGGAGGAAGTAACAGATTGCAGAGATATGTACCTTGTGTCCACTGCTAGTTCCCATTCCTTTTTTTTTCAATTCAAACAAGAGAACTACCTACCGCTGCACACGCTATGCGCTTGGAGAGAACTATTTTCTCATTCTACCCACCGATTGGGAACAGGCACCAATGAATTTTCAGAAAAAGGTTTTCGCACCCAAGTGGTTATTTCCTTGTTTTCTTTTTATGATTTGATTGTTTCCATGCTCTGTGGTACCGAAAGTTCAATGGCGTTACTGTCATGAAAAAGGAGAAGTCAATGTATGTACGCCACATCGCCACTCCATATTCGTACGTGTATCCCAGCTTAAAAAGACGCTTATGCCCCTCCTTCACAGATGTGCAGCAAAATTCAAATTCTACGTGCGCCACTGCATGAATAATGGCATTGATGTTATTTTGCCTGATATAAATGCATGGACAGTAGTGGCTCACATAGACAGTAGCAGCATATCATGTAAATGCACATAAAGTGACACAAAAAAATTTAGAGATAGAAATAACCGAGTTTAACAAACACCGATTTATTCAAGTTGAACATAGGTTCACAACCAGGTCTCACATGGCAAACTCTTATCCTGCACAAGCTTGGACTATCTTGAGGAGTAGGTGCCTTCTTCTTATCCTGCACAAGCTTGGCTTTGCCTCTCTTTCCTTCAGTCGACTTCTCTACAGTTGGAAGCATGATTGCTAGGGCCATTGGTTCAAGTTGGTTGGAACCAGACCCTGACATCCTATAATAAGGACAATAGTATAAAAGTTAGGGATAGTGAACATGTCTTCTCCATGTAGCTGAAAAGAATTAGGTTACTTACTTGATTGAGCTTTGATGATGATGATGGTGCCCACTTTTTCTTGGTAACAAGTGCAGCCAACTCAATTGGTGTCTCATGAGGGAATGTCATTGTTGGTGCAGATTGTAGAGAGGGTGCATCAATGCTCAATTCTATTGTAGGTTCATTTGTTTTTGTCTTCTTAGATTTTGGAGGTCCTCTGCAACATTATTCATTTTTCATTACATCAATTGGAAAATACAAATTTACAAGAAATATAAATAGAGGATGCAAGAGTTATGAAGTTTGATAATACCTAGCTGCAAGCATGGCAGCTTTATCTTCTAAATCACCATCTTTGTAGGTCCACAGGTGGTGTCCATGTTGCTTGCAAAATTGGACACTGGTGCCTCCCTTTTCTACCTTGCCCACCTTCGGCACTGCCCTTATGCCTCTGTGTCTTTCTCCTTCCAGAAGTTGATTTCAGCAATGGTGGATGCATGAAGAAACCATGCTGAGACTCAGGCCACTGAGACTTGTCTGGCAAAGCTGGAATTACCTCCTCGTATGATGATTTCAACATGTCAATTGAGAAGTAGGAGTCCACATAATCCTCAAGATTTTGACCTCTAATAGAAGTGATCATAGCAATTGCATGATTGCAAGGCTTTCCTAAAACTTGCCACTCTCTGCATGTACAAGTTCTCTCCTTAAGGTTAATAACATACCTGTATCATAAACATGTAACCAGCAAGGATTTAGATTAATTAAAATAAAACCAGCATTGTAATTAGCATCATAAACATGTAACCAGTAAAGATTCAGATTAGTTACAATAAAACCAGCAATGTAATTAGCATACCTATAACCTGAGCCACCCCTCCATGGAGAGAGTTGAAAACTAGCTTCTAGTCCACAATTTGGTGTGATTTTGCCTTAAATACTTATGTTGGGTTCATAAACCCAGGGTCCCTCGGGGACCGGCTTTCATGCCAAGGCTCGGCCCAGACAGACAGCACGTAACTCATGGGCTGGCCCAAGAGTCTAAAAACAATAGGCCGGAAGGGCGGTCCAGTCACCGACCGGAAGGTCTGGCGAAAAAACAACGCCGCTTTGCTCGACTACTTGCCCCACCTCTTCCGACCGGGCGCTTCGCTTGGACTCCAAATTACTCCGGACAGCCTCTCCGATCAGAAGGCCTCGCCCAAGCACTACTTCCAACTCTGACCCCGCGTCTCCGACCGGGGTTCACCAAACCCTGCTCACCGCTGCTTCTCCGACTGGCGCGACCAAAGCCAACTGGGGCCATCCAACCGGAGATGCCCGCTCGGAAGGAACCAGGGGACGAACGGAGAAAGCAAGCCAGGGCGCACAAGTCAAACCACGATACCAGGGACCATACCCTGTACGCCTGCAGGAACAGTACTCTGCAACCGCCCTGACACAAACAATATTGTAGGCGCCGACATTTCCCTCTATAGTATTGTGGGCGCCATTAACTCCCATACGGTAAGGCCCCCCACATGCCCTCTAGGCATCGATAGTGTTGTGGGCGCCGGGATTTACCGTACCAGGTGAACGTGGTGAAACTCCTCACATGCCTCTAGGCATCAAACAATATTTGCAGGTACCGACATCTACCATTCCTGAAGAAGGCAACGTAACCTCCCACATGCATCTGACATTCTACAGTGACATCAACAGTGTTGTGGGCGCCTACCATTATCTTGTACCCGCCGGCATGGGCAACAAAGCTCAGTAGCATACGTACCCTCACCCTCTCACTTGTAAAGCCATCCCCTTTATCTATAAAAGGGGATGCACTCCCTCCAACGAAGGAGAGCCTTTTTAGATTCATCAGATCGACCAAGTTCACTAGTTCACAACCACAGAACCACCGGTTCGGGACCTCAAGCACACGCTTGAACACTTAGCTCATAGCGTAGCTCCTGTCGCTCTCGGCCCTTCCGACCAGAGCCGACCGGACCTCTTGTACACCCCATCTTTCTCCTTCTCGTTTGTAACCCCACTGCAAACTTCAAGCACCTAGGCTCAGGAATAAAGTCACTGACCAACCCAAACTGGACATAGGGCATGTTGCCTGAACCAGTATAAATCATGTGTCATTGAGTGCTAGGCCACCTCCGATCACAACGTATGATAAAACTATAAATATTCACTAGTTGGTCACTTTCTGCACCGACAGTTGGCGCCGTCCGTGGGGAAGACGTTGTATGTTCAACACCTTTTGGTCATCGGATGGCCCACTTTTCCGCCACCCTCGCCGTGGCGGGCTCGGGCGATACTATTTGCTTCGGTTTGCTGGAGTTTCCCGCACTCTCATCGGCTAGGATGCGGGTTCCACCCGTCTTTGAGCCATCCCAGGCCTTCCTCTTCGGAAGCCTAGACTTTGTCGTCGACCGGCTCGGCGTACTACACCTCCGCAAGAAGGCTCACGTCCCAGCACCCGTTGGAGGGGCACCCTCCATCGACTCCGGGATGCACGACTTCGACAACGCAACATCCACGCTTCATTCCGAGCAAACTCTCTACTCAAACCTCGTTGTAAGTAATATGCGTATTGTTATTTGCTCTTTATTTACTATCTCCCACCGATCACCTAGAGGGACTGTATCGCCCATGCCACAAACACCGTATGATCGGTTCCCCTATGGCCTCGCATCCTCCGCGGATGCGTACGCTCGGGGGCTCCAAAGGATGCTGGCTCCATCCCCCCTCGCATCTGAATTCATGGGAATGGCAGGCTACGCTCCTGCCGTTTCCCATGAACTCCCGGATGACGAGGGAGAGAGCGACGGTTCCAACATCGGCGACGTGGCACCACGCCACTGTCCGTCCTGGGAGTGTGCTATGGCGGACGCTCCGGGACAGCCGCCGGTGGTTGTGGAGTTTGCGTAGACTCACACCCCTCCGGACCCATGATACGGGGGCCCTCGCGTCTGCGCAAGTGCACGCCGAGGAATTACGACAACTGCGGCAGAACCAGCCGCCGCCTGCGCTGGCGCAGTCGGTACAACACGTTGCGCCCCATGCGCATGGCCCGTGGGTGGCGCCCGGGGTCACGCCCGTTAGGTCCAACATGACATCATGAACAAGGGGAACGATCTCCCACAATTCGCCCGGGTTGGCCAGAACATCACTGCTACGGCAATGCTTCTGTGCGGCGTTCCTGAGCCCGTCAACCCCCAGGAGCGGGCAGTCTACCGGAACCTCCGGGTTCTAGTAGAAGCCGCCGCGGTCCAATAGGAGGAAAGCTCCGCGTCGCGACTCCTACCCACGCCCTCTCTCCCAACCGGGGGAACAGGGACGCGCCAGACGGATCGCTCCATTCGCTCGCCGCTACAGCCGTCAGGCGCGGCTCGGGGGGCGACAGTCGCGCCATGGTCTAACCTAGCGCCTTCCCCACACCGACCATCGGTACACGAGTGGCCCGATCCGCACCAGGACGCTCATAGCATCGTCAGCGACCGGCATCGGGCCCGACACGATAATGATGTCCACCGTACGGCAGCAGGCAACACGGATCCCAGCAGAACCATCGAGCGGAGCGGTGAAACACGCCCCAGGCACGGTCGCCGGCCAGACGACCGGAGCCCCAGCCCTGAGGGCCTGGGGCCACGAGCCTTCAGCCGGCGTATCCGGAGAGCACCGTTCCCGCAGCATTTCCGACCACCCACCAACATCACCAAATACACCGGGGAGACAAACCTAGGCATTTAGCTCAAGAAGACTTCTGGCTCACCTGTCGGGCCAGAGGAGTGGATGGTGACTATTTCATCATTCAGTATCTTCCCATTTGCGTGGGGGAACATGTTCGGGCGTGGCTTGAATTCCTCCCGCACGACAGCATCCGTGACTGGGCGGACCTCAAGAGGGTCTTCGTCGGGAATTTCCAGGGGACGTATGTCTGCCCTAGAAACTCCTGGGACCTCAAGAGCTGTCAGCAGGAGCCAGCGAGTCCTTGCGGGATTACATCCGCAGGTTCTCCCAACGATGCAACTCCCTCCCAGATGTCGTCGACGCAGACGTCATTAGCGCATTCCTCTCCGGGACAAACTGCGAGTCCCTAATCCACAAGCTTGGCTGCCTGAAACCCCATACCACCCGCGACCTGCTCGACGTCGCCACCAACCATGCCTTGGGCGAGGAGGCGGTCGGAGCAGTCTTTAGCGAAGGCCGGGACAAAGGCAAGGCCAAGCGCGCGGACCCAGACGAGGGCCCCTTCACACAGAGGGGCAAGAAGAACAAAAAGGATTGGCGCCGATTGGACAACACCATGATGGTCGCCGCGGCTGATCGCATGGGCAAGTAGCCCCAATAGGGGCTGCCTGACCACTTCAACAAACTCATGGACAGTCCATGCACCAACCACGCCTACCCCGTCAAACACCTCTACAAGGACTGCGAGCTCCTCAAATGTTTCCTCTGACAGGCCGGTGGGCCAAAGGAGGGAGACGGCAAAGAGGCGGCGGCCAAGAAGGGAGGCGCGACAGGCAAGGACGGGGACGGTTTCCCCGATGCTGACGAATGCATCATGATCTTCGGTGGATTCGACGCCATCTGGTCCAAGCGACATCACAAGGTTCGCTATAGAGAGGCATGCGCCACCGAGACAGCCATCCCCTCCTTCCTTAACTGGTCGGAATCTCCGATCACCTTCAATTAGAGGGACCAACCCTCCCACATCGCGAGATCGGGATGCTACCCACTCGTCGTCGACCCCATCATCCGCAAGAAGCACCTTACGAAGGTGCTGATGGTCGGAGGCAGCGGCCTCAACATCTTATACATCGACACCCTCGATGCCATGCACATCACTCGATCGGAGCTCCGCCTGGCGGGCTCCCCCTTCCACGGGGTAATCCCAGGAGCGCAGGCATACCCGCTCGGATAGATCGATCTGCCCGTCACGTTCGGCAGTCAGGCCAACTTCTGCTCGGAGGTTTTCACCTTTGAGGTGGTGGACTTTCTAGGGTCCTACCACACCATCTTGGGGCGGCCATGCTACGCAAGATTCATGGCAATCCCCAACTACACCTACCTCAAGCTGAAGATGCTGGGACCAAACGGCGTCATCACCGTGAGTAGCACCTTTTCACACGCCTTCACGTGCGACCGCGAGCACTACGAGCTCGCCACTGCAGTCGTCAACTCGTCCGAGCTCCCACGGCTCGGGGAATTGTCGGCCCCGGCAGTCCTAGACTGCAACAAACCAACTTCCTCAATGTCCGCTCAAAGAAACCAAGGCGGTGGGAATCGACCCCTCCAACCCAACCAAGACGGTTTGGATCGGGACCCAGCTCCCGGCCAAATGGGAATGCGAGCTCGTCGACTTCCTGCACGACAATCACGATGTCTTCGCATGGCAGCCTTCTAACATGCTAGGGATACCGCGGGAGGTCACCGAGCATGCACTACACCTTATCTCGGGCTCAAAGCCCGCCAAGCAGCGCCTGCGTCTCTTCGACGACGAGAAGCGCTGGGCCATAGGCGAAGAGATCGCCAAACTCCTGGTAGCCGGATTTATCAGGGAGGTATTCCACTTCAACTGGCTCGCCAATCCCGTCCTTGTCAGAAAGAAGACCGGAAGTGGAGAATGTGCGTTGATTATACTGGACACAACAAAGCGTGTCTAAAGGATCACTTTCCTTTGCCGTGCATAGACCAGATAGTCGATTCCACCTCGGGTTGCGAGATCCTCTCATTTCTAGATGCCTACTCAGGCTATCACCAGATCACGATGAAAGAATCCGATCAGCTCGCAACCTCATTCATCACCCCGTATGGTTTGTACTGCTACGTGACAATGCCTTTCAGCCTGAAGAACGCTGGTGCCACCTACCAAAGGTGCATGTAGCAATGCTT